TTTCTGTTGATGCGTAGATCAACGGCGTCTTCCCGGTTGCGCCAATGCCGACCCAGACCATTACAGAGGTCGGAAAATGACTGCTGCTCATGGTCGCTTACTACTGAGGACTTCTGTTGACTCTTCATGGGAAATTGACGTCGATTCTGGCGATTGTGCAGAGGTTCGACCGTGACGATATCGTTACATTCGTAATAATCACAGTCGACAAACGAGCAGCAACTTTCAAAAGAATCATCAGGCGAGCCTTTGAAAGCCGTTTTTCTTTCGTCTTTTTGCCCAGTAATTGAACACGAGCGATCTTGTAACTGCACAGCCCCAGCTTATTTTCGATAATGTTTCGCTAGCTCCGATCGTCGATCCTGAGCTTCCCAAGTCATGGGCATCGAGCGCTGTGGATTTCGTTGAACATGGCCATTGGATCTTCTGAATACTTTCCGAAGTAGATGAGGTAGTTGGACGACCTTTTCGAGGACGGTTCGCTATCCCTCCAACCTCTTTGGCACACGTTTCACGGCTCTGCAGACATTTACTGGCTTGAAACCACTCGATTTTAACAACTCCGGCCGTTTCCATTTTCGCCTTGTGCAATTCAACTACTGGAACAGACTCATTTTACGATTTATAACTTTAGCACAACTGAATAGACAATTAGAAAAGACAGGTGCACAAAGAATTCAAGAGAGTTATCAGAACTAATAAAAGAAAACATCTCAACGCTAAAACTAACACAATACAGAGTTGACAGGACTTTTCTCACACCCTGTATATTCATATTATCGTCAAACACTATGGCTTCACGAGATACGTCATGCCTTCTTTATTGGTTGTGCTTATAAATAACTTAGGAAAGTGGAAAGGTTCCGAAAGTCCCAAAATTCTCCTCTACAGAAAAGAGCAGAAAGAAAGGCACTTCCGCCTCTACGACTGAAGTACTCATCAAAAATCGTAGTAAATTATAAAGGGAAGCATGAACTTACGACGAGGTCTTTGAGCTCTTTATCCTTCTGCGAGACTTGTCGACGACAAACGGCGACACGTGCTTTCAACGTTCTCATCACTTCGTTGGCTTCATTCAGTTGATCAGTGGTTGAGAGAATCCTGAACGAAAATAGCGAATCATAGTAATACTATATGTAAAACGACACCACCAGATAACTTCTTTTCGATCAATAATATCGCGCGATAGGTACTTTCAATAGAGAACACTACTCTTCATCCTTTGAGGACCACATAATACGTCTCGTATCAAGCCGCCCGATGTCTAATCTCACCCAGCTACCGTAGTGGCGGCACACGTCTCGTGGGAAGGCAGGCAGACAGTCAGACATGCATGCACAGACATGCAGATCCTGCCTGTCTGCGACTGTCGCGCAAGCGACGGCACGACACCGTCAGCCTACTGACGGTGTCGTGCCGTCGAAGGATTAACTACTTTTCAATCGATAACACTGCCAATTAAATACTTTCAATTGATGTCAGTTAACTACTTTCCAATTAATAAAGCTGCCAATTAACTGACTTTTCAATCAAAGTCGCAGTATCTGCAGACTTGAGTTCTTCAGAATTCAGCTTGATACATTTACGAGGTACGACCGTCGTGTCCGCATTCTCACTGGCTCGTTTCATCGCTGAAAAGAGAGGGTAACCGTGGGAGAACAATGAACGCATTGAATCAGAACAATATTTCACTACTTCCAATTGCTCAATAGAATTATCTTTAGGTAATCTCAAGTGAATTCTATAGCTATAAGCAACACGAGAATGAATAACGCAGAACTTTCGAGTACAAAAACACAATAGCTAAAATACAGTTATCGATGTGATCGTAGATTTCCGATGGGAATCGACCAACATACGGATAATTAATTGAATGTCTCGATGGACTGACCACTTCGACAGCAGAGCACTCACAAATGAATCAGAATTTGTAGAGGAAAAAAACTGCCTGATAGGAAATCACATCGCTGCGATCAAAATAGCCATTATGATAGAGAATTTTCAAGCCATCTCCATCAGAGCCACTACTTTATTAAGATCTGTGAAAATTTTCGAGAATGTCACATAATATTAGGAAATAAACCGTCCGCGAATATTTGTGTGCATGACGTTTTGTTGCGTAGTTTATGGTGCGCGTCATAGAGAATAGTGGAAAAGAATGATAAATTACAAACTTATAAAGTAGGAATCCATCTCACTGACTTTTTTCAAATCGTTTCAGACATTCAATATGGTCTATAAGAACTTTTCGAGCGTCTTTGAGGTTGGAACGTCAGAGTCATACGCACGTTTCGGCGGTGTAGCCCGCTTCACCGGTGGCCCACGCCCCACACTGGACCCTACTTCATAGCAGGGTTGGTAGGACGTTGGCTTACTGTGAAAGCACGTGATTAGTGAATATCTCTGCTATGAAGTAGGATTCAGTGTGGGGCGTGGGCCACTCATGAAGCGGGCTACACCGCTGAAACGACGTACGTATGACTCTGACGTTCCAACCTCAAGGACGCTCGATACATTCTCACAGACCAAATTGAATATTCGAAACGACCTTTAAAAAAGTCCATGAGATGGATTCCTACTTTATAAGTTTGTAATTTATCAATCTTTTCCACTATTCTTCATAAAATAAACTACGCAGCAAAACGTCATGCACACAAATATTTGCGGAAGGTTTATTTCCTGATATTACGTGACATTTTTTCTGGAATTTATTAAGGAGCAGACATTAGGAGCGCACTTGAGACAATGATTAGAGGTGCTCTGCATCGCACACAAAGCCCCGATGGTACGATCGCGTCCATGGCTCATCAGATTTTGCATCCCTCCGGGGTCGACGAAAAGGTTCGAACTTATAGACTAAGGACAGATGCATGGTGCATCCCTCAGGATAGATCAACGCCGAGAGCTTCATCCTTTGTCCTTTTTTATGTAGACATTGTATTCTGCCTGGTAGAGAAAGATCAAGGAATATCTGAAGCGCATAAAATAGGAGAAAAAACCCTCATAAGAACTGAAGAGACACATCTCTAGTGGTAATCGACCACATTATAGTGATCCTTATGAGACGTATCCCTACGCTCTTGAGAATTCACATTGCTCTGCAATGGACTGCTTTTTTGGACCTCACTGTAGTACTTCGATACACCATGAAAGACTGTTTTGAGCCTTCTCGAGTTTTGTCTTGAGGTTGGCAAGAAATTTTCTGGGGCCTTCTCGTTTTTGCTGATTAATTTTCATGCAAAATTCTTTATATTCAACCATTTTTAGCGTTGGTATGATTTTATTATATACCCAATGATATCGAGTGATGTGCAAAACATTTGCTTCAGACAGGACTTGAACCGGCATCTCACCCAACCCGGGAGCGCGTGCTCTATCTCCTCCGGATTAGATGAAATGCGGGTTCAAGCCTCGCCTGAAGTAAGTATTTTGCACACCACTCTACGTCACCGAATATATTTTTTATCGATTTGAGTTTTTGTTCTTTCTGCCGCTCAAAGCAGCTTCTTGCGGTTATTCCAATATAGAACACTTGAACATCCGTTCTGAGATGGAATTGTCTCGAGATCAAAAACGATTGTTAATGCTACATGAGTATCGTCAACGACGGAAACGTCTCAACTGATTTAAAACAGCTTGCCGGTAAATTTCTTGTGGGCGGTCGGCTCCTTAGTTGTGCGTTAAATCTCTTTCCAGCCTTGAAATCATTGAAACGATCAAAACTTGCAGTCCTCCTGACTGTCCCGACGTCCCAGGCCACGTAAATCCGGCGAAGAGTCTCAGCAGCACTCAAATCCACACGATTGTAAAACGAGGGAGGGTGCCACTCATGGGTCCCAATAGGAGGAAATAGGCGCCTATGTAGCACTAGACCTATCGGCTCAAAACAAGTCATATCCTTGTCAGATTAAATCGTTTTCAGCGGATCTGTAAAAGAGCGGTTGACAGCAGAGGTATGACTGATTATAAAAGACGCAAACTCGACTGCCGATCACCACAACGTCAGGGAATACCATCATCCGACTTGGGGTGATTATTTTCCTACTCGGCGTCGGCTCCTGTAGAGGGTTTATTTAGCCTCAAGGAATCGACGGAACCGAGGGTCAGTGCTACTGATGAGTCCCAATAGGACGAAATAGGCGCCTATGTAGCACTAGACCTATCGGCTCGAAACAAGTCATATCCTTACCAAACGATAGTCTTGAAACATCAACGATCGTTTTTTGCCCTCGGGACACCTTGATCTTGAAACAAATATGTAAGTGTTATATGTCAGAATAACCGCAAGAAGCTGCTCTAAACGACGGCAAAACCAAAAACTCGAATGCATGAAAAATAATGCACAGAAACGGAAAAATCCGAAGCAGGCTTCTTACCGACCCTACATGTCAGTGGCCAACGTACGTTGCCGGTGGCCTCGCCGCCTCATCAGAGCCACTCGGGCAACCAGTAAACCCAGCTGAGAGTGGGAAAGTACGCACTTAAGGACATCTGTAGACGTCATAAGAATGAAGGATAAAGCTTTCGGCGTTAATCGATCTCTAAGGGGATGCTGCGCCATACATTATTCATCGAACATCCGCTTGAAGTGACTAGATTAGATCTACCCTTCATAATAACTCGCGGTGGCCTACCAACGTATCAAGTCCGTGCTGCTGTCGTTCCATACAAGTCTGACCACTTCACCGAGCTCGGAGGGATGCAAGACTAAGTAAGCTTGAGTGCGGGATCGAACCATCGACCACGTGCGTGACGCCGGACACCTCTAACCACTGCGCCATACCTGCATAAATGTAATAGTAGTAACAAATGTAAATGAATCGTGCACTACCGGGAAGAGACACGAAAGAACGATACAGGACGGAGGTATGTATGTGCGTGAAGCCTCTGTAGTACACAGAATGTTTGAAAGTTCACCGTGGGTCGTGATGTCTTAGATTAGAGCGCGTTATTCGGCGAGAGACCTGGGTTACTGGAGATACCAAGGATGAACAAGGCGAGCGTCGGTAGTGCAACGGTTAGCATGCGCTCCCGGAAAGAGTGAGATCTGTGTTCGAATCCCGGCTGACGCAAGCGTCTTTTCACAGCACCCCATATATTGGGAATACCGACGTATTTTGAAAAATGATAGTTATTAGGTTTTGTCAGGGTCAGATGCCATCCTACTCTTGCACAGCACAGCGTGAATTGTCATTTTAGGTTCTCCGTTTGAGTAACTTCTCAAAATTGACCTTGTAATTCTACTCCGATAACAAGTAGCATACCGAAGGATGGCCTATATAGGCTCAATGATGTCGACTGATGTGCAAAACTTTCGCGTAGGCCGGGATTCGAACCCGCATTTCATCCTTCCCGGCGGCGCGTGCTTTAACCCGATGCACTGGCAGCGCCCGTTTTGCCAGCACTCTTTCTACGCTACAAAGCATAGATCTGTCAGCAACCAACCGTCGACGGTTTGACGTGGGTAGTCGATTTCGGTATAGAACCCAGTCACGCTGAAAGAGATTGGGTATTGGATGATCAAACAGATTTCGTAATAGATATGCCTATGAGAACTGAGTGTGAGCAAAAAATGAATCAGAAATCCAAAATCAAGCAGTGAAGCAAAATTGATTACTCTACCAAACCTGTTATAGGTTGCTAGCTGTAGCTATAATAGAGGCACTGAAGAATGAGTGATGGCGAAAAGGTCCTCCGTGGTGTGGTAGTAGTAAACGACCTCGGTATGGGTGAAACGCGGGTTCAACTCTCGTCTGAGGTTGGATTTTTGTCAATTCTCTTAGGTGTACCTTTATTTCAAGTGTTTTGTTAAGACAAAAAATAGCAGCCAAAGAGCAATCGAGTGCGCAACACTCTGTGTTAGGTGAAAATTTCACTTGACATAAAGTGTAAGACTTTCGTCTTCGATAACTCTCTGTGGATGGGGTAGGGCTCTCGAGAGAACTGACTCGAAAGACGACGGGTTCTGCCCGACTGATGAGTCTGTAAGGACGAAACACGTGTATCGGGCTGTACCAGACCACATGACAAATCGGCGCAAATAATAATGTAAGGATATCTTAGATGTATTTGAAAAATCATCACACTTCGAAAAAAGATGTAAAAAACATAAGAGATTTTGAGAATTCTTTTTACTTGACCGCTTTCGACAAAACCACAGGCCGGTAGCGCAACGGTTCGGAACACTCGCAACCGGCCAGGGTGAAATGCTAGTTCGAGTCCGGCTTGACACAAAAGTTTTGTCCATCAGATCAGTAGTGTTTAGCAACTCCAAGGTGTTAAATATAGTATTTATTGAATACTAGTAATGCAATACAATACAGTGAAGCATAAATGCAGCATAAATAGGCAGCAGTCGTGGGTGGCTTACATTTCGGCGAGGATCGCCATCTTCAGAGCCTGAAAAGGTGTTAAACTGATTCGCAAATCATTCAGTCACCAAGCTCCATAATCTCAGCAGAAAACGTACGAAACGAATTTTGGATCGCCTAGTGAAAACTTCATTACGGAAACACACCGCTTAGATGTGTTAGGGTCTTTCAATAATATCGCATGACCTGGCACCATAGCTCAGGCTAATTTCCCGGCTTGAGCCAGGCACAGTCTCACTTAAGCGCTGAATCTAAGTGGCAGGTCTTCAATAGATACTTTCATTATTATTTGAGCCAACTTGTCATCTGGTCTGGTAAGGGCTCTTGTACAGCCCGATACACGTGTTTCGTCCTTACAGACTCGTCAGTCGGGCAGAACAGGTCGTCTTTCGATATCTATAGTCAGTTCTCTCGGGAGTTCTGCTCCCTTACAGAACACTTTTCACCTAACACAGAAAGATTTATTGAAATTTGAGCGTGGTCTTAATAAAGAACTCGAAAGAAAGCTATAATATGATAAAAATACCAGTCAGCGAGCAATCGAGTGCGAAAACACTCTGTGTTAAGTGAAAATCTCAATTGACATAGAGTGTAAAACGTTAGTATTCGATAACTCTCTGTAAGGGAGCAAAGCTCCCGGGAGAACTGACCATAAAAATATCGAAAGACGACGGGTTCTGCCCGACTGACGATCTGTAAGGCCGCAACACGTGTATCGGGCTGTACAAGAGCCCTTACCAGACCACATGACAAGTTGGCTCAAATAATAATGAAAGGATCTATTGAAATTTGAGCGTGGTCTAAACAAAGCACTCGAAAGAAAGTAT